CCTTCCATTGGAGGAGCAGTGGACCAAATGTTTCCGGCATGCACATGAACACCAGGGCCATGACAATACCCGTGGCAATCAACATAGACCATTCCGTCCAACGCCAGCTTGTATTTGGTCCAATGTAAGATCCTATCACGAGGCCAAGTGCCGGTGCGCCAAATCCTGGAATGGCGAAAAGCGGGAAGACCCATGTCTTGTCGAGGCTGTCGTAGAGATCCGAGATCGTACCACCAACGCAGGTCAAAGGCGCAGTTGCTGAAAACGCCGCCAGAAATCGAAATACCAGCTGAGCTCCAATATTCGGGGCGAGAGCTGCGCCCATAGTCCATAGTGAGAAGACGGGAAGAGATGCGAGATACACGGCGTTGCGTCCAAACAGTTCTGAAAACGGGGCTGCGATCAGGCCTCCAGTTCCGAAACCTACGAGAAATACTCCTAGAGAGGCGTTAGTACACAACCACATGGTGTTAGCTGTGATGTATTTACCTGTCGCTAGAGTCTCGACCACTTCACTGACACCAAGGTCTTCGGCTGCTTGTGGCATCACAGCCGCATCGATGGCGCCTGCAGAGCATACGACAACTGCAATTGCAGTAACTTGCAAAATAGCCCCTAAGCGTTTGGCTGTGCTCCAATTCCTCGGGTTTAGGGGGTCGGTACTCGATTCCCAGTCCACGATGAGGGATTCGTCGTCTCGTTCTGTCTTTAGTTCTCGTCCTGAAACGGAACTGCTCTCTGGCGTGGATTGCGGACGTCCCTTCTCCCGTTCTCGTCGCGCTTTTGCGTCAAAACCAATTTGTCTGTACTGACGAATAGATTGCATTTTGAATTGTTGAAATTTGAGGGGGACTGACTGACACTGACTTACAACACCTGTTCATTGTTGAGTTTATAACGAAAGCTGAAGATGATGTGACTCGCATCTGGCTCAGGTTCTTGATTACGCTAGGAAGGACTGCTGGTGTTGAGCCCGAGGTCCGGCAAGGGCAGCCATTCGGCCAAATTCGACGAATAGAAATGCGATAATTTCGATCCTAGTGCCCACTTGGACATGGTCAACGCTTGGACGTTTTCCACCTTCCTTAATAAAGTAAGTCCTTGCGACATAGGTACTCTTCTAACGCAGATCTGATGCTACGATTCGCGGAAGTCGCGCGGAAGTCTGCGATCCGGCTCGTCTGATTCTGTATACAATCGTACGTCACCTATCTATCCTTCCGGTTTTCTAACAAAACTCCTGTCGAAAGCGGATAAGTGCCTACAAGTATTTTTGCTGCAACTTTTTAATACCTGCCATAATGGCTACTCTTCTATTGCTCGGCAGTTTCAGTCTTTACAGACGTTGAGAAAGGTGATTATGTCCCTACGTTCTGTAAAAACGCCCAGTTTTTGCAGCTTTGGCCCGCACCCGCTCCTTATGACTCACTCCCACATTTCCGCGGAAACCCTTTCCATAGATTTGCCAGCTTGTCGACAACTCATTTACATCCACAGGGTCAAAGAACTGCCACCACAATGGAGAACTTACCGCTGTTGCTTAGTTTTGCCTTATTCTATCTGAAAGAAGATATTTGTTATTATCACTAAATCCGTGAGCTTGTTTGTGCCAATCATGGACACTACTCCCTGAGGGTCCTTTGAGTCACATGCGCTTGTGAAGCAATAGCATATTTTGGAATATGCTCAAAGTACCTTACGGCAAAAGCACTAATTGTTTTCGACAAGGTTTGCGGAATGAGAAACCTCTTGTGGGTCTAGGCGTAGCCCCTTATTCCTTGATTACAAAATGGCGGAGGCTAGAACGTAAGCTAATCACCATTGCCGTCAAGTAGCGTCTTCCCTTAGCGCAGTCCTCACTTCCACTCCAGCTTTAGGTACCTCTGCCACCCAAGAGCACTGTAGCGGCGAATCGACTATCTTCTTGACTTGCTGACGTTTCAATCCAGAATACTGGAAAATTAGATGCTGTAAGAGCACTTCAAAGATGTTCATTGTCTAGGGCATCTACTTAATGCAGCTTTTTCTAGAAATATTAATTAAGTGCGTTATCGGCCCACATCAAATAACTGCCAAAGGGAGACGAAGACTTTATTACCGGAGGTTACTACACACTTTCCTCTACAGTAACATGGAAGGTACTCTATCTTATTGAAGAAATGTTAGTACTTTACAAATGATTATATGTTCCCCGAGAGTTGAGTTAAGTTGAGTTAAATTTATTTACCCTAACCTATCGTCCTGAGCGATATGTAGGCTATAGACTATTTAAAGGAATACGCTAGAAATTTACATTAGCGATTTAATCTAAGAGTATAAGGAAAAAGGGGAATAGAGATAGGATAAAGGAAAGGTAGAAGAATAGGAATAAGATAGGGTTTTACTAGTTTATATCGTCTCTACTCTAGAACCTTTTTATTTATTAAGCGAATTTAAGTACTATTTTAAGTTATACGGCCGAAATTGTCTATTTTATCTTTTCCGTATAAGGCTAG